AAGGAGCGGCGCCGCACCGAGAGCATCAACAGCGCCTTCGCGGAGCTGCGCGAGTGCATCCCCAACGTGCCCGCCGACACCAAGCTGTCCAAGATCAAGACCCTGCGCCTGGCCACCAGCTACATCGCCTACCTCATGGACGTGCTGGCCCGCGACAGCCCGGCCGGCGGGCCCGACCCCTTCAAAGCCGAGCTCAAGAAGGCCGAGGGCAAGCGCCGGCGGGACGCGGTAAGCGGGCGGCGCCCGGCGTGCCCGGCCTAGGGCATGGCACCGTGCGGGGCGGAGGGGTGCGGAGGCTGGCCAGGAAGGGGCGCCCCGTGCGCGTGGGAAGGGCGCTGGACACACGCGGGCATGGGCGCAGCGTGGGATTGGGCCCCTTCTCCCTCCCGCCCCAGGCAGGCGGGGATCGGCCTCGAGCCCCCGGGAACCCCGCAGCTCTGCTGCAGGAGCCCAACGAGCCGGGGCGCCCGACTACCCCGCCGCGGGTTGAAAACCCTCCTGCCGCAGCATGCGGGGCCGGGGGCCGAGCGTCACCCCAGCCCGGGTCCGCACCTCACCGCTTGCCCTGTCTCTTTGCTCCCTCGACGCGCAGCAGAGCGAGGGCTTGGCGCAGCCTCCGGGCGCCGGCGAGAAGAGGCTGAAGGGGCGCACGGGCTGGCCGCAGCAGGTCTGGGCGCTGGAGCTGAACCCCTGAGCACGGACACGTGGAGCCCGGTGGGGCTGGGACGATGGACGCCTGCGAACGCTGCCTAGGCAAGCTCCGGCCCTGGACCCTGCCCGCGGGGATTGGCACGGGGCCTGCGCACAGATGCCCCCTTCTCCCCGCCGCCGTTGGAAGTGCCGGGGGGTTTCCACTGTGGCACCGGGCGTCTACCTCACCGCTCCGGCTCACACGAAGGCTCGATGCGAGGTAAAGCCGCGTTGGGGGAGAGCAGCGCATCCGCTTACCTGCTGCTGGCCTCGGGGGACCTCCGGGGACCGGACGCCGCCAGCGAGTCGGGGCCTCCTTGCGCTGGGCCCCGGCGAAACCCCGTCCCTTCGTGCCTGCCACCGGGGAGAGGTCAAGCCGCGCACGTCTGCCCCCGGGAAATCCCAGCGTCTCCCGTTGGACGTACAGCCGGTCAGCCTGTAAAACGCAGACGCACACGCTGAGCGCCCACCCGGGTGTGGATCTCTCCCCCTGGACCCAGCTGGAGATGTCCCGGTCCAGCCTGCAGTCCGCACGCCCGACACACACCGCTCTCCAGGCCCGAAGGGGCTGTTTGTGGTCAGCTCGCCCAGCCTGCTGCCTAGCTCAGGACAGAGAAGAGCACCCAGGAAATGTGAATATTTTAATATATTGGTGTGTGCATGGTTTGGTGGTTGTTTTTTTATTTTCCCCCCCGCCCCTTGTCGTTGTCGTACCAGATTCCTATTAAATATGTACAATGCGCTATGGAGAGCTCTGCCCCTCTCCGGAAATAGTTTTTGTGTAGTCACAGGCCCATATTTAATAGAGCGGGGGGCTTGCTAATAATTATTGCACGTATTTAATAGAGGGAGAGGGCAGAGCTCTAACTATTGTACAGTCACGTGCACATATTTATAGATGATAAAAAAGATGAAGTATCTATAGATGGTCGTTGTGTGTGTGCAGGCGTTCAGGGAGAAATGCATCCAGCGCGGCCTGTAGAGGCTGGCACTTACGCAGGAGGAGCGAGTGCGTTTACACACACGCCCCGATAATTACCCTGGGTGGAACAAGGGACTTTTCAGGGCCCGCGGAGTTAATCCCTTACGTTTTATAGGGATGGAAACTTCGTTAGTGTTAATGTGGCAAGGCGAAGGAAGCCTCCTTGCCGATATCAAACAAAACTTCAGCTCGGCCTAAGGGCAGGCCCCTCCGCCTCGCAGGGGGATAACTAGCCGGAGCCGGGGAAAGCCAGATCAAAAAACCAGGGCTTGTTTTAATGAGGAAAAACGCCTCTGTTATAACAGCCAAGCTGGGACTGCGGAGAGCGGGTGGCGCGGGACCCGCTGTTTGCCCAGGCCGTCTCCCGAGGCTCCCTGACCAGCGAGCCCCACGAAACAGCCTGCGCGGACGGCTCCCCGCTCTCTGTCAAGCCCCAGGAAACGGGGTGCGGGAAATCCACTAGGCCTTGCCGCCCCGCAATAAGGGCTTCGCATTCCCTGCACTTTCCACAGGCTCTTGTTGCAACAGAAGCCTGATTTTTTTTTTCCTCCCTTTATGCTGGCCTTGCTGTGGATAACTTCCCCACCCGCAGCGCGGCTGCTCCTGATTTACACCAGCACAAGGACGGGTCTGCACGGGGTGGGGGGGATTTTGGATGGAGGGGCGCTGTAAGGAGAGGGGCACATCCTGTTTAACCGCGTGCATGCAGGCTTTCTTATTGCTTTGCTCCAAATGATTTTAAATGGATTAGTCATGTAGGATAAAGCACTTGTATTCTGGGGAATATACACACACTTTTTAATTTAGATGTTTTACACACCCCCCCCACACACACCTACGTGCGTGTATATGTATATATACACTCCCCCACCCCACACAGACATACATATATATTTTTTATATATGCATACACACACACACACACACACACACATACATACATATATACACACACATATGCTTTTTATACACACATACAT